CCCCTTTACTGTCCTACCTCCCACTGTTGGTTTTCATTGTTATTTTCCATTTCCTCTTCCTGTAATGCTTTGGCGAGGGTGTTTTGAAGAGATGGTTTTCTAGCTGCGAATTCTTTAAACTTTTGTTTATCGTGGAAGGTTTTAATTTCATCCTCCATCCTGAAGCTTAATTTCGCTGGATACACAATTCTTGGTTGGAACCCATTTTCTTTCAGTGTTTGAAATATGTTATTCCAGGATCTTCTAGCTTTCAGAGTCTGTGTTGAAAGATCAGCTGTTATCCTGATTGGCTTACCCCTAAATGTAATCTGCTTCCTTTCTCTTGTAGCTTTTAAAATTCTCTCCTTATTCTGTATGTTGGGCATCTTCATTATAATGTGTCTAGGTGTGGATCTCTTATGATTTTGCACATTCGGCATCCTGTAGGCTTCTAGGATTTGGGATTCTGTCTCATTCTTCAAGTCTGGGAAGTTTTCTTGTATTATTTCATTGAATAGACTTCTCATTCCTTTGGTTTGGAGCTCTGTACCTTCCTGTATCCCAATGACTCTTAAGTTTGGTCTCTTAATGTTATCCCATATTTCTTGGATGTTCTGCTCATGGTTTCTTAACAGTCTTGCTGAGCTGTCTATGTTCTTTTCCAGTTGAAATACTTTGTCTTCATTGTCTGATGTTCTATCTTCTAAGTGTTCTACTCTGCTGGTAGTATTCTCCATTGAGTTTTTAAGTTGGTTTATTGCTTCCTGCATTTCTAGGATTTCTGTTTGTTTGTTTTTTATAACCTCTATCTCCCTGTATAGTTGATCCTTTGCTTCCTGGATTTGTTTGCGTAATTCGTTGTCGAAGTGATCTTTCATTGTCTGATTTTGCTGTTTAATGTCTTCCTTGATACTCCAGATCATCTGAAGCATGTATATCCTGAATTCTTTATCTGACATTCCATCTGCTGCAGCTGTTACCTCTTCTAAAGTTGTGTTGACCTGCATTGCTTGTGGTCCTTTCTTTCCTTGTCTTTTCATACTGCTTGTGTATCTTTCCTGCAGGTGCGGGCGGCGGCTCTGCTCTCTCCTTATTCCAATTGGGGTGTCGTGGCTACCACGCCGGCAGGTCACTGGGCCTGTTCTGGGAGCTGGCGGCGGCTCTGTTCTGCCCCTACTCCAATTGGGGTGACGAGTGTACCACGCCGGCAGGCCACCGGGCCTGATCCGCCGGTCGGTTGCAGGTTTGCCTACCCTGCAGGCGCGGGCGGCGGCTCTATTCTGCCCCTACTGCAAATGGGGTGACGTGTCTGTCGTACCGGCAGGCCACTGGGCCTGTCCCGCTGGTCGGTCGCAGATCTGCCCACCTTTCGGGCTCGGGTGGAGGCTCTGCTCTGCCCCTACTCCAATTGGGGTGTCGTGACTACCCCGCCTGCAGGACGCTGGGCCTGTTCCTGGCACGGGCGGCGACTCTGCTCTGCCACTACTCCAATTAGGGTGGTGTTTGTACCACGCCGGCAGGCTCCTGGGCCTGATCCGCCGGTCTGTTGTAGGTCTGCCTACCTTGGAGGCGCGGGCGGCGGATCTGCCCTGCCCCTCCTACCACGCCTGCGGACCCCTGGGCCTGATCTGCAGGTTGATCACTGGTCTGCTCACCCTGCGGGCACGGGTGGCGGTTCCGCTCCGCCCCCACTCCAATTGGGGTCATGTGACCACCACACCGGCAGGGCCTGATCCAGGCGTGGGAGAAGGATCTGCTCTGCCCCTACTCCAGTTGGTGTGACGTGTGTACCACACTGGCAGGCCACTGGGCCTGACCCGCCAGGCTGTCACAGGTCTGTTTACCTTGCACGCTCATTCGTCACAGCGCGAACCGCGGCTCTGCCCTGCCCCTCCTACCACGCCCATGTACCACTGGGTCGCGGGTTTGCCCACCTTGCGGTTGCGGGTAGCGGCTCCGCTCCACCCCCTCTCCAATTGGGGTCACGCGGTCACCACTCTGGCGAGCCGCTGGGCCTGCTCCGGGCGCTGGCGGCGGCCCGGCTCCTTCCCTCTGGCTCCACGACAAATTGAGGAGACTCGGGTGACTGTGCCTCACCCCCCCTACCAGGAGACCAACTGCTTATGTCACCACTGGTATTGATGAAGTTCCCTCCTCCGCCGCTTTCTGCAGACATCAGATCTCTGCCATGTTGGTATCCTATGCGAATGGCAGCATTTCGTTCCCCTTGCCGGGCAACCAAAGCACCGGGTGAGTCCTGACCGGCCCTCAGCAGGACCCGGACCGAGAAGCAGTTTCCGCGGGCTCCTAGCCCCGGGCCAGGGAAGTTTCGGGAGCCGGAACTCGGCCGCTCCGTGCTCGGTGTAAGCTCCTATAAATGTAAGCTCCAAGAAGCAGTCCCCGCGGGCTCAGTTCCGGGAGCCGTAATTCGGCTGCTTAGTGCTTGTTGTATGCTCTGGTAGGAGCAGGGTCCAAGAAGCAGCCTCCACAGGCTCAGCAGCCCTGGGCCAGGGCGGTTCCGGGAGCCGGAACTCGGCCGCCCCGCACTCGGTATTCACTCCGATAAGATCAGGTTCTAAGAAGCACCCAGGCGCTGAGCCCTAGCAATCTGTCTGCAAGCCGCAGGCGAATTGCAGCCTGAAATTACCTGTTCTATGGCTGAATGAGCTGCGGTCAGTCAAAACAGGGGTGGTGACGTCAGTTTACCAACATGGTGGCTGCTGGCCTCCTCTGTGGTCTGACCGGTGTGGAGAACCGAGATGGACCGCTTCCTTCCCCCCGTCTCAAACCCAGAATTCAGCCCTGAGTACGGTGCTTGCGCGGCTGGCAGAAACTGCAGCGTTGTAACCCTGCGTCTCTATCCCAGCGCACGCTGCAGATTCTAGCCGCGGGGCGATTTGCTGAATAAGCAGTGTTACCCTCCGTGCGACAAACCTCTCGCGTTTGAGTCCCCGTAGCTGATCCTCGTGCGATGGAAATCCTTCCTCCAGGTTCCGGAGCACCCCACTATTGCTGGAAATTCCTAACAAGATATCCTTTAGCCGTCCTGACTTGTCATACTCCCACACAGTGAAGCAGCACACGGGGGCAATGCACTCCACTCGCCGCCATCTTCCTTCCTTCTTCACTAAATATTTCTTGAAGGACTAAACCCTTGGAATGCTACCTTGCTATTTAGGAGTATGTGTCCCTGCTCTCCCCCTCAACCCCAGGTGTTTTCTCTTAGTAATTGTCCATCCACTGCACCCAGCCCGCCCCTCTGCAGTTTGTCTGCAAACCTCCACTTATCCCTGGAGTTGAATCCAATCTCACCCCACATTGGGGTGGTCCCTGTACCTATCTTTCACCACAGCCCCACTTCAATCTTGACAAAGCAGCCTCACCATCTTCTACAAGAATCAGGAATATAATTTTTCTTTAACGTTGGAAGTAATAAAACTTCTGAGGGCACTGAGTGACATCTTTGTTGTCACTCAGTCACCGCAATCTAGTGTAATTCCCAGGTGCAGGCAATACACAAGTGAGTTGAATAGCCCGTGACTTTGGCCAGGGTCCAGGGTCCAGGTGGATCTGCTTGGATTGATCTGTTACTTTACCACCGAGTCACATCCCCAGCCCTTTACTTTTCATTCTGAGAGGTTCTCACCAAGTTGCTTAGGACCTCGCTTAATTGTGAGAGGACACACTTCATTAGGATAGACCTGGTAAGAGAATGGCAAACTCAAACCAGGAAACGCTAGGACTAGAAGTAAGTGAGACCGAAAGGACCACAATTCCTCCTGAAACCCTTTGTTTGGACTGGAGTAAGTAAGGGAAAAGAGACACGCCCTAGCACCTGAGAGCAAGACAACCAAACAGAAGAAGAAAAAAAAGAAAAACACACACTGGCAAGAAACACATAGCCAGTTTGATTCTCGAGTCTAACATTAAAACCAGATGTTAAGATCCCCGAGAGGGGTACACCGTTCCTGGAAGTACTGCAATACCAGGTCGATGCGTGGAGTGGACGGAGCAAGCTCCTATTCCAACTCCCTGCTCCAAAGATCCATTTAATATATTGTCCTCGGATAGAGGACGTATCAGATATTAAACTGATAAGAACAGATACTACACTTGATCTTAGCCAAAAGGCCGAGAAGCGATACCGTACCACTCGCCCCTCGCCCTCACCGCCCTCCGCTCGCCCACTTTCAACTCGCGGTGAGCGCCGCCACGCCTACTCCCACTCTCTTTTTCTCTTGTCTCCTTCAGGCTCCCACGGCGCTCCACTGGGCCCGCGTGCAGTCTCACTATTGGCCTCACCTGGAACAAGGAATTTTAACTAGTCCTTCGCGGCTCCGGCGTTCCGGAGCTGTGGAGTCCTCCCCTGCTTTGCATGCGCCTGCGCTGCCCCTTACCCGGGGAGGCATGGCTACCCCGTGACTTCCTCTCTGGCGCCCACCCACTGACAAAAACAGAACCCGGGGGGACTGGGACTGAGCGGTTAGAGGGGGCTGAATGCCGGAAGGAGTTGTTGGCTGTGAGCGGGCCCAATTTTCCCCGAGGACGCCATTGAGAGACATTCGCAAAAGACGCCCGGGCTGTATGTTTTGGTATTGTTGTTTTTATAATTTCAGTCCTTTGAGATATTCTTGATGATTTCTTTTTATTTATTTACTTATTTTTATGTGGTGCCGAGGATCAAACCCGGGGCCTCGCGCGTGCTAGGCGAGCCACAACCCCAGCCCTGACTGTATGGTTTTAATTCGTTCTTTGCCAGAGGAGAGGAAGACCAGCTTCGGACCTGACCCGTCTGGAGAGGCTTGTTCTGAGTCAGGGCGGTCCGGAGGTCCTCTCTGCAAGGGGGAAGGCTGCGAGCTCTTTCCGGTGGGGCGAGCCCCGCAGGGCAGAGGGAGGGGATTCCCCCCAGCTGCAGAACCGGTTTCTATTGGCGCTTGTACAAATCAATGCTGTTTCCTTTCCCCCTGGTTCTCACCCGGTCGCTGGGCTACATCCCCAGCTCTTTTGTGTGTGTGTGTGCGCCTTTAGTACCGGGAATTGAATGAGTTCACTCGCTCGACCACTGAGCCACACCCCCCAGACCTATTTTTGTATTTTATTTAGAGATAGGTTCTCACTGAGTTGCTTCTTAATCGCAGGGAGAAAGCCGTTTGGGTGTCGCCTCCTCCAGGACGTCTTCCTTAAGGAAGGGCCCTTCCTCACCACACTCAAATGTAATCGGCATCCATCCTGTACATTTGATTGCACCCTGTTATTTTACGGCAGGCACACCGTTCGCCCGCCGTTTGGAGCCATTCCTCATCTCCCCCACCGAAACATGAGGCCCTAGAGGGTACTAGTCCTGTCAACGCCAGCAGTTGAGAGTGCTCAGCTAACCTTTGTAGGGGAAGGAAGCCGTGGGAGAGGACGTGATGGACACCAGGGAATGAACCAGAGAAGACGCGTGGAGGAGGCTACAAGCTGTATAGGGGCTAAGGCCGGACACCTGAGTAGGGATGCTCTGGGGAAGTGGGGATCAGGCCCCCGGGAAAGGCTGGGGTAAAGTTTCTCTCTGCGGCAGAGTCGGCATTTGCCTTTCCCATCCATTCTCTTTGCCTACAGCACTTCAGTTTCTTTGGTTTGATCGCAGAAAAGCAAGAGGCTATCATGGGTGTAGGACTGACGCTCAGTCAGTCATTTTCCCCCTGCCAGGCGGAAAGCCTGATGAATAGCCAGGACCAACAGAAACTGAGCGCTCTCTGTGTACTGCATCTTTCAGTCCGCTCCACCGTGAGGTGGGTGTTATTGTCCAGGGCCGAGTTTAGACTGAGCCAAGTCTTCTAGGATAACATTTTAAGGGAGTGCCCCTCTAAAAACTTTCCAGTAATGGAGATAAATAATATTTTAGTGCAATGTATCTTACCCATCAAGACGATCAAAATATGCATCTTGATTACCAAGGCTTTTTTTTTTTTTGAGGGGGGTGCGTGTTTGTTTCTTTGCTCAAGGCCCCTGTCTGGCTCCTTTCACTCCACCCTGGTCCCCGCCTTGTTATCATCACCTCCATTCTCCTGACCGGTGCTGAATGGCAACCACGGGCCACATGGAGCCCTGGAAAGGTGGTTCCTTGTAGTTCAGTGGTGCTGTGAGTGTAAAATACAGTGTTCAAATGTGGAACATCTCGTTTGTGATTTTACATCTGTGTGGTGTTCAAGCGAGGTTTTGGATTTATCAAGGTAAATAGATATTATTTCAAGATACTAAACTTGATTTCCCCTCTTTTTTTTTTTTTTTTTCCTTTCAAAACCACTATGTCCCCAGCCTTTTGATCCATGCTTTTAGATACTGCCTTGACCTGAGGAAGATTTGGCTCACAGGTAGGTTACTTGTGCACACCCTGTGCTTCACTGCTAGGACAGCAGACCCAGACTCAATGGTACCTGAGTCACGGTTGGGGCAGTTGAGATATGTGAAATGAAACCTGTTCTAAGGTGCTTGGTTTTGGGCTGGGGATGTGGCTGAAGCGGTAGCCCAATTGCCTGGCATGCGCGGGGGGGGGGGGGGGGGGGGGGGGGTGCTGGGTTCGATCCTCAGCACCACATAAAATTAAAGTCCACTGAGGTACTTGCTTGCATTTTCTGTGTTGTGATGCTATTTGTTGAATGTAATAATTAGGTATTTGTGAATATATTGCTGTAGGGCTGGGGATGTAGCTCAGTGGTAGTGTGCTTGTCTAGCATGCACAAGGCCCTGGGTTCCATCCCCAGTACCACCCCCCCCCCCAAAAAAAAAATGAATATATTTCTGTAATTCCCGACAACATCCAAAAAATAAAATCATCCTAAATTGAACACAAAGAACGTGCCTCCTCGATAATTTAATATTACACACACGGCTCATGTATCTCTAGCAGGCAGCACTGTCTTAGGCTGAGAAATTAGCTCAGAGAGCCTAAACAATTGACCAATGTCACACAGCTAATATGCAGCAAGGTCACACAATTTGAACCCAAGCTTCTTTTAATTACATGGGGTGGGGTGTCTTCATGTTTTTTGATCTCTTTTTCTTTTTTTACACGGGGGATTGACCTAGGGTACTGTACCACTGAGCCACATCCCCAGCCCTTTTTATTTTTTATTTTGAGACAGGGTCCTGCTAAGTTGCTGATGCTGGACTG